CAGTACATTCTAAGAATTTTAAGAAAAATTTAAGAAAGAACATAAAAGACGCTTGTACCCTCATTTTATTTTCAAATCAGACACTACCGTCAACGTGATTCATAGTAATTGGTTCATAAATGAAAAATATTTAATGCAAAACTGGTTTTTGTTTTTTAGAATGCATTATATTTTAGGACAAATTTTGAATGGTAGAATGCACTATATTACTAGATGGAGAGTATATCTTATTACAACATGATATAACCAATGATCCAACTAATAAAATCGTAAAATCCTTAACATTTTGCTAACTAGTTTAGTCTAGATAAATATGGCTAAGAACTTTATGCATGTACCGGTGGAATACACAACAAGGACTACCATGTGGAAAATCTATAGAGGTCTTTTATTGTAATTATCAGCAAACAAATCAATCATTAACATGTTGACAATTAACTCCTTGCCGACTATAATAAAAATAGAATTACAAAATTTTATAAGCCCACAAAGAAGTCACAAGGAACTAGACGTTTAACCGTACCAACGTATGTATAGTATGAAATTAAAGTTATGATATGATATCTTTATAAGTAAATATGTTTGTGTTTTACTACAGAAGAAGAAAACTATTAAGATTGTATTTCATATTTGATACATACTTAATAAGGCATTATGATATCATTGCCAACGTTAGCTTATATATTATTGGTGTTGTAGTACGTCATCGTAAATAAACTGTAGCTTTAGAATTTATAGAAAAGATAAAACAAAAAATAGATAAGTTTCTATCATAAATGTTTGATAGCCTTTTTTTTCTCCCATTACAACGCACGGACATATTTGCTAGTAAATAAATAATAGAAAACTATCTAGATTATAAATAAATAAATAATAGAAAAGTAACCGCATACCTTACCTTTTTATATGATTATATATATATCTATACCTATATAACAAAAAAAAAGTCTATTCAACCAGTAATTAATACCTTGTATAATGTCCATGTTCACATAGAGAGTCTGATTCAAAATGAGATAAATAAATTAATAATAGAAAAGTAACTTACATACCACCATACCGCATTTTTATATGATCTATATAACAAAAATTCTATTCAACCAATAGTTAACTCCTTTATAGTTCACGGGACAAAAAAGTGTAAACACGGCGTTATGTATACTAGATTAATCTGTAGATATTATATATCATATTAATATATATAATATCCATGTTAGACCCTCGGTTCGGGGCGCTTCCCCGATCCATTATGGGAGATGGCTCGGGGCTTCTAAATAAGACCTTGGCGGCTTGGAGAGTACTGTTGCACATTTTCATTGGCAATACATTCTAGTGAGCTAAGAAAAACCTCTCCTACTCATCTGCTTGCTTGAGATTGCGAATCAAAGTGACATTGAGTGAATTCAAGTGCATTTTCTTGTGAGATTGCATCTAGTGGCACTTGGTGGTTGACTTGGCTGCAGTTTTCTTGTTACTCTTGGTGGTTCCGCCACCTAGATGGCTTGGAGCAGCTTGGAGGTGTTGGCAAGTGTTGGGGATTGTTCTTGGCCACACCCGGTGATCTTTGTGAGGGGTTCATGGGCCTATTCCTCGGCAGAGCGCCAAAAGCCACTCTAGTGGATTGCTCGTGTCATTGAGCTACCTCACTTGTGGTAGATTCTTGTGGTGCTCAAGTGTTGAGCTCGGTGTGGTGCCGATTAGCCACCAAATCACCAAGTGCTGGTCGACACAACGGGGACTAGCGTGCCGGCAAGCACGTGAACCTCGGGATAAAAATCGTTGTCTCCCATGTGTTGATATTGTGATTGATTGATTCCATTCTTGGTGATTGGCTCATTCATTGGACTTCATTGGTGATCCCGAAGGCTCGGTGAAACTCACTCTATCTCTTGTATTTATATTCCTAGTATACTTGTGTAGAGTTAGTTTTGCTAGTGTAGCTAGTTGAGTAGTTTAGCTTCTTTAGTTGTAAAGTAGCTCTCTAGCTAGGCTAAGTAGTGACATAGCTCTTGTGTGTGCCATAGAGATCATAATCACTAGAATTGTTGGATAGGTGGTTTGCAGCCTTTGTTAGAGCTAGTGCAAAAAGATTCACTATTTAATTATCTAACAAAGTTGCTTAGTGCTTTGTAGAATTTTTAATAGGCTATTCACCCCTCCCTCTAGCCATATTGGACCTTTCACGGTGGAGGCGCATCGAGGTCATTAGACGAGGCCTCGGAGTCGGAGAAGCGTAACCTCCCCCCCAAACTAGGGGAGGCCACGAAGGGGTCAGCATCGGGGTTGAGGGAGCTTCGTCAACCTCATCCGCCCAGGAGCAGCGGGAAGGAGAACCCCGTTCCATGGCAGGGGAAGGGGGAAGTGGGGGGTGGTTGGGCGCTGGGAAGGGGGAGGGTTGGGGGCGCCGGGGCCACGGCGGCCGGAGGCGAGGGCTTGGTGGACGCGGGGGCGGGGGTGGCCACCGCAAAGTCTTGGGGTGGGGCTCCTTACCTTCCCTCGGACGTTTGGTCAAACCGATGGGCACCGGTAAAACAATAAAACAAATGTATTTACTGTGGGGCCGGAAATGGCATGTGCTAGGTCACCTTTTGGCATGTAAGTCACATGATCAGCTGCCACACAAGCCCCCCTCCCTCCATAGCGTAGCGTTTTAAACCAAATGCGAGTTTTACTCTACTTCCTCCCGCCAGATTATAAAGGCTCAGGAATCGACAAACCTTTCTGGACCCGCATACGCTGATACGGTGATGTTGAAGAAGCACAAGCACGGGAGCCAGAGCAGAGGAAGGTAAAACTAAAGCACGTCTTGTTGCAATAGGACTGCCTACTAAGAAGATGGAAGTAATCTGTACACCAAACACGAGAGAGGCACCCATTATGTTTTGTTGTATGTTCCGAATGGCGTGGAATGCAAAACTTGAAAATTTGGGTTTGAAAACTGCGATGCTCTATGGATGATGAATGTTTTGTGTGCGATCGTCGTAGGGAACAACCACGTGACCGACGCATGTATTACTCAACTCAAGAAAGAGATGCATATGCAACGTTACGGCTTTTCACGGTTAGCTTAATTGGGGCCTCATTCATCACCATTTGAATGCCATATACAAGCTATGTGTGAGATTTCTTTTTTCGAAAATATGTAGCCACGTGCAAAACTATATGTAACTGGACAAGGGTGACATGTCAGTGCCACCAATCCCAAGCAGATTCCTTCCGATGGGTAAAAGAAAAAAAAAAGGACGTGTGCAGCATGGAAAGATCACACGTAGGAGCCATATCAGGAGGGTGGAAATGGTGGCGACACGTACACTTGTTACTATTCCTCTAGCAATACTGCACGTTAACTAGTTACTTTTACTGTTGCATGCTGAAGTAGAGCCGTCGGGTCACATTCTGGACGGGATGCATGTCGCTGCATGTCTCTAGTACTGCTATACGTAGCGGACACCGGTAAGGGGTGCGAGCCTGGAGGCTCGCATGTATGTGCTGTGTGTTTGCTTTTCTCCCGCCAATGCAACCGGCTTTTTCTTTAAGAAGGTGCAGTGCACGTATCTCTGCGAACGAATACAACCTTCGCATCTCGATTCTCGATCGCGACGTCCTTCTACTGCGCGCGCGTGACTAGGGTGCACAGTGATGTACTTACATCGCTCATTCGCTATAAGATGCTGAGCGCGGCCAGGGACACCGTGTCATTCCGCCGGTGCATTCGACATGGATGGAGAACGAAAGAGTCGTAGAACAAAGACATAGCATTTGCAATTTGGCATGTGATGGTCCGGTGCGCGCGCTGACGAGGATATGCGTGTGCCGTCCCTCCTCCATGACGCCAGGCCATGTAGCAAACGATTTATAGCACAATGCCTTGATTCTGGTCGCGAGGTCCATCCGATTGACCTTTGAATGCCGTACGTCTCTCCATGAACTTCCTATATATGCCATCATCATGCAGAGAGGAGATATATTAGACTTCGGTATCGCATTTGGGCATCATCAGCTAGTACTTGGATCTTGTTTTCCTTTTCTCTGTTTCTCTCTCCCTTGGCCTAAGTGCCTTGCCCGAGGGCTTGTATGACTCTGTTCGGCACCTTTGGTGCCCTGCTTCCTCTTCCTGATTTAACCGACCACAGTATATTCGTTGCTTTCGGGGAAAAGTATAAAGATCTTCAGCTCCATGGTGAGAAAAAACGCAACGGAAAGATCGCCATCACACTGAGGGCATTTCCCCATGACTGATCCCCCGGTTGTTTCCATGGATCCGGTTGAAAATCAAATCGCTTCCGAACCAGTACGTACTAGTACTAAGCTACTGATGTGTTGTGATTTTGCTGATGTCATGTCTCACGCGACAGGTAACGTTTCAATATTGTTATATGTGGGGAATAACATTTATTGTCCGGTGGATCACATGTATTCCGTTTAGTTTGGGGTGAAAAGTTTTTGGGTGTCACATCGATGTTATATGGGACGTTGGAAGGGATTTTCGGATACTAATTAAAAAATTAATTACATAACTCGTCTGAGAATTGCGAGACGAATTTATTAAGCCTAATTAATCCGTCATTAGCATATTTGTTACTGTAGTACTTTAGTGTCAAATCAAGGATTAATTAGGGTCAAAATATTCATCTCACAATTTACACACAAACTATACAATTAATTTTTTATTTCATCTATATTTAATACTCCGTGCGTTTCCGTGAAAAGTTTTTGGAACTAGCCAAGATTAATATGCTCGGCGGCCAGTCAGCTGGTAAACCGTGCATGCATGCAGTCCTACTCACATCAAGCATTTTCTCATTCATCACTGCCCACGCTATACCTCTCTACGTGGCTGCTAGGCCTGGCAGGCAAGCGCCCATGCCTCTGACCGCTCGCCTCCCTGCCCCTACTTTCCTCGCCCTATCATTCTTCTTTCCCCTCCCCTCCTCCACTCTCTGTTGTTTAGCAAGCAAGACCAGACCAAGAACCAAGCCCTTTTCCTCTACTCCCCCCTCATGCTGCGGAGAGAGGCCGTCGGCCGCCGCTTCCGGCCGCCGCTTTGGCGTGCCCTGCCGCCGACACGTCCCCCAGGACTACTGCCGTTGATGAAAAATCCCATCCCTTGCCACCGCCGCCAGCAGCAGCCGAATAAGCCCTCTCAAATTCAAGAAAAGGGTGTCATTTTGGGCTTGGGAATGCTCACCCGCCTCTGGCTGCCAGTGTGCCGCGCCGTTCCGGCCAGGCGCGCACGCGACGTCGGCATCCGGCATGTGGCTGACGACGGTGGAGGCCCTCCATCTGCTGGCCTTCTGCCCGCCGGTCACCGTTCCACTGCAGTGGCGCCACCACCAGGGTCCGATCCACGTCCTCCTGCTGGCACGCAACGGACTCCGTCCACTCCGGCGACGCCGCCAACCTACTCCAACTTCAATGCCGCCGACAGCTCCGAACACCCGTCGGCACGTCGCCCTAGAGTGCCGGAGCACACGCTCCCTCCTCACTGCCGTCGCCGCCCCGAGCAGCAGCAGCAGCAGAAGCCGAAAAGAAGCGATCTTTTTGGCTCGGCGTCGGCGATACTGCAGCTGGGGATGAAAACGGCTGTACCTCACCTCCGGCCGCCGCCATGCCACGGTGGAGGCCCTCCATCTGCTGGCCTTCTGCCCGCCGGCCACCGTTCCACTCCGGCGGCGCCACCACCGGTCGGACTTCTCTCGACCTTCGACGGGTCCGATCTACGTCCTCCTGCTGGCACGCCACCAACTCCGTCCACTCCGGCGACGCCGCCAACCTACTCCAACTTCAATGCCGCCGGCCGCTCCGAACCCCCGTCGGCACGTCGCCCTGGAGTGCCCGAGGACACACTCCCTCCTCACCAGCGTCGCCGCCCCGAGCAGCAGCAGCAGAAGCCGAAAAGAAGCGACCTTTTTGCCTCGGCGTCGGCGATGCTGCGGCTGGGGATGAAAACGGCGGTACCTCACCTCCGGCCGCCAGCGTGCCGCACTATTCCGTTGCTGACCGGTGGAGGCCCTCCATCTGCTAGCCTTCTGCCTGCCGGCCACGGTTTGACACCGGCGACACCACCCGTCTCTCCTTCGGTTGGACTCCTCTTCAACTTCCACGGCACTTGTCCTCGTCTTCCTGCTGGGCCTGGCACACCATGGACTGGCCGCCATCTCCTGGCGCCTCACTGTCCGGTGATAAGGATCAGGCGTCATTTGCAGTTAAACATGATGGTAAGTTCTATTCTCTGATCATAGATATTTTTTACACCTTGTGAACTTCTTTAACCCACAATGAACTTTTGGATTTTATCCTGATGTTACATTCATGTAACTTAGTTTTTCCTGTATATCATAGATATATGAATCGGAATTGCTAAAAGACACTCGTATGTTTTATGGCCTTTGGGCACTCGAATTTTTTTTTGTCTCAGATTACTTTGAGATTAGTGCTCAAGAAGGTAACTATCTGAGATAAAGGAGAATTCGTGTGTTGCTTGACTCTCCAACACTTGAATTTCTACTTGCACCTTAGTTACAATCAATTTATATCAGAGTTACACTAGATATTTGGGTGTAATTTTCAAGTATGGGTGGTGTAATTAAAAATTCGGGTGTTTGTAGTCCCTAATAGCACCTGATTTTGTTCCATTACTCCCATGTAGGATCTAATCTAAGACATTTATCTCAGTTTGTGTTGGTTAAAAATTCAGGTGTAAGGTCCTCCCAAAACACCCGGAGTGTTCTATAGACAACTCCTATATGAATCCTTAATTGCAACTGAAGTCGTTTAATGAGATTTTCATTTATCTATTTGCTATTTGCTTTTCGATTAGAATTACTCATAGAACTTTTAGGCTTAAGATCGATCAGAACTCATAGGTGTATTTTTTTATTTATGGTCAAATTTCACACAATATTTGAGATTGAAAAAACTTAATCCTGTTTTACCTACCGTATAGATAGCCCTATTTGATATGTTTCTTGTTGTTTATTTACTTTACCTTCGTCTATTCATAGGGAACTCAGCCAACAAAGCGGTTGCTAAGCACATTTTCAGATCCAGTGACAAAAGGGATTAACCTGTTGTCAGTAGAGGAATGCGAGAGTGCTAGGGATGAAATGTCATCCGGCATAGAAGATGTCGTGGACAAGATTGCATGCCTTGAGGGTAACCTCCAGAACTTAAGTGCAAGCTATTTGAAAGAATTACTGCAACATGTCTTAAAAGAGTGCAAGAAACACCAGTCGAAGGAAATGTTAAAGAAGTTATACTACGAGAAGATTAGACCTGCACTAGTTGCACGTGTTCTTTTATCACCTTATTCTCTCAGTGACCATAGGGGCATCAAGTTGCTTGAAGAGTATAAGAAACATGTAACAGATGCTAAGTATTTGACAAGTATCGACTTGATGGAGGCGATGATAAACATGACAGAGTTATATTGGAGCATCTTCTTGGATTTCCTAAGTGAAAAGGATGTTTGGTAATTGAGGATTGGGATAACTCCTTAGGGCGCCTCATTCGGGACTACTCTCTATAAGCGTGGAGTCACTTTTGATGGCTCCCGCTATATAAGGGAGAGTGTGATGCATCTTTTCTTGAGGATAAGAATAACAAGAAGAACAGTAAAGCTTCGATATGCATCGCTATATGGACGAGCACTAGTGAGATATTATCGAGTATTGTTATCAAAGATTATCCATGCGAGGATTCTATCGAAGCGAAGCAATGGCGATGTTTCTACTTCTCAAGGAAGGTATCAGATTGGGTTTACATCTGCACCCCTTTGAAGTTTGTTCAGATTGGCAATTAGTGTTCAATACACTTTGGGGAGCTCATCGAATTGATCTAGATGATAGGAATGCTGATCTTTTGAAGTTGCTAAAGTATATGAGGAGGTGTTACACAAGTTTGATCCCGAATGGCAGCAAAGGGAGAAGATGTTTTGGGTTGATGGCTTGATGAGGGTAATGAAGTTAGAAGGACCTGACACTAATGTGGACCTCCGAAGCCTTCTGAAAAAAGGTGAAAAGTTACCTTAGTGGGAAGCCGCTGTTTAAATTCATGCAAAAACAAGGCTCCTTCAACAGTTTGATTAAGAAAAGTAAGAAACTAAAATCTTTACCTCAATGGTTTTATTAATTTTATTCTTTACCTCAATGGTTTTATTAATTTTATTCCTAACCTTTTGGTTAACATTAATGGTATAAGTTGCTCCCTAATTGGTCTCTTTCTTTCTTTTCTTGGTACAGTTAGTTTTGAAACTAATCACTCTTATTTCTTGCAGTAAGGGAGGAGTCAAGGCAGTCAAGTCTTCTAGACTCGCAGCAGTCAAGTCCTCCTCTAGACTCAAGAGCAGTTAAGTCCTCTGGACTTGCACCAAAGATACCAGTCAGAAGTTGAAGAAAAGGATAAAGCAGATATATTGTCCCACATTATTACAGCATTGAGACCGTCCAAGGTTTTTATTGTGATGAAGGAATCTCAGTCTGAAGCTAGAAGTAAGATCTTGAAAATGTATGAGGACTGCAGAATTGAGGAGACTAGTGAAGACAGTGAGAACTGTAGAATGATTATCTTAAATGTCGAGCACAGAACCATATCTAAAACTGCTAAGAGAGACTTGTGGATCAGTTTTGATTCATCGATTCCGGAAGGACTGTTCCAAAACAAGTCAGATTCGTTAATGGTTTTTTTTAAGAACGCCAAGTGAGAAACATGTTGGAACCAAGATTCCAGAACTGAACCCAGTCAGCTTCGTCTCATTTCATAACAGTAAGTGATGTTTATTGCTGTTTTTTTTAATTTCAATGGTGTTACATGTTATCTGACTTTTTGACTTTTCTCTGGTTCCTGCAGAAGAAAAGAAGAGAAGGTATGTTTTAGCCAATATTCGATGTGCCTTAGTCCTTGAGCAATTAAAAGGAATTACACGATGGTTATGTCCATGAATTTCATGTTGTTTATCATTGCAGCCCCCATCCTAACACTAAGTGGTCTCAAAGCTTTGACAAGCTGTTCATAGTAGTTGAGTTGCCTGAGGCAAAGGATATTATGCTGGATTTGAAGCCTGAGGGCCATTTTCACTTCTCTGCAATGGGAGCTGATGACATGCCATACGAGCTTGACCTCGAGCTATTTGACGCTATTAACCTTGAGGTTGGTTTAATTGTTGACTGGTTCTACCTTCTGGGTACATACTACATTCTGATTATATAGGTTTTGCTGTTTGCAGGAGATAAAAAAAAATAGTTGGAGTCAAAGACGTACGCTACCTTCTGAAGAAGGCTGATAACAAGTGGTGGCCGAGGCTGCTGAAGAAGGAGGGCAACCCCCCTGTTTTCTTGAAGATCGACTCGTTAGGTATCTGACAAAAGCATTATGTGATGATTCATGAAAGATTTTCATGGTGTTTTGTATCTGCAGAAGCTGGATATCAGAGCTGCAGCTTCTGATCTTCAGAATGATGAAAACGAAGTGATGAACGAAGCTAATGAAGTTCGGTCAGAAAAAAAAGCTAATGAAGGTGCGCCATTCTCTCCTTTTCATCTATGGTGTCCAGAATGAAGAATAGAACTAGAAAACTGGCACGGCGTTGCCGTGCCCCCACCTGAATAGGCCAGTTCCATCGTTGCAGAACTTCATGTACTTGCAGAACAACAAAGGAATGTGCTGCTTAGTGAAATCGTGCATAGATACGTGTACAACAAAAGAGATGCAAAATAATGCATGGTGATTTTATACAGCAAACAACTGTTGCCATCCGGAGATTACTCTTTCTTCTACTGCTATGTATCTGATTTTGACATTGCAGCTGCTATTAAGATAATGTCAAATGACTGAACCAAAGGAGTGTAGATAGTGTTGATACTCTAGAATATGTTTTTTACTTTATTACCTAGTTCCTTCGATGCTTGCCTTTGTCCTGTGATCGGGTTAGCTTTTGTCTGAAGAGTAGTGTCATTATCATATTTTTATACTCATTATAATATCTTGGTGCAATCTCTATAACTCTGAAGAGATATATGTAGATTATAGATTACAACCCGATGAGACAAAGGATCAAGACACTGAAGCAAATCTGCATTACATTATTATAACGAGTTGTTCGGCAGATAAGCCGACGGAAGCTGATTTGTTGTGAGAGGAAAATACTATTTTGTGGCTGATAAGTTCAAGCGAATAGGACGTTAGTCTGAGAATTTAGCTGTTATACTGCAATTAGTATCGCATAGCTAAAACATATAGTAACATTATATAAATAACGAGCTGGTAGGCAGAATTGTGCTCCAACAAAGGCTTGAAATTAGGCACGTTGTGTTTAGCAAGGTAAAATCAGAGTGACTTGGTATGATTGTCATGTTCGAGAAAAAAAACTTTGTATGATTGTGCTAGGATTTTCAGTAATCTCATATCTTTAAATAATATAAGGTAAATGCATATTGAAACATGAACATTTTATTTAGAGAGAGTTTCACAGAAGCCTTTACTTTGGTAGACTGTATCGGTCAACTGAAGTTGCTTCACCTTCATAGTCTTTTAAAACTATAGGGTCACTTTAAAGTGACAGACAATGGAGGTAGTAGCAGATTGTACACTTATGGATCATCATCATATGAACTGCACATGATTCTGGCCTTGTTAATACAGAGAGAGTAGGAATTTCTTGGTAGCCGCTTGTATGCCTAAAAATGGACACAACCCTACGTTAAATTTAGTAAAAAAAATATTAGATTGGATGTTTGTTTTACCAAACGAGGTTATCTATTTTCTTTCAAATTTGGAAGTATCACTTAAATTCATATATTCATTCTTATTATTACAAAATATATTGAACTCTGTTTCTGCTTAGAGACTATTATACTGCAAAGTAACACAAAAGAAACTTCTCGAAGTACAAGGAAAATTACAATTTTCTTTACGACGAATGAACCGATAAAGTAAATGTGTTGCATAACTATTGTAGTTATCTCTGTTCTAAATTAGAGCTTCGGGCTTCTATTAAAATATGGTAAACATTTACGCTGTAAATATGGGAAAGGAGAGTATAAAATTTCCTTTATTTTGAGCTGAAACTTTCATCCCAATTATTGGAAATTTTCATAAATACTTATATGGAAAGATTAGTTCTATGATGTAGTCATAAAGCAAAGCTATACTTCTCACAATAAACTTTTAATATGCTGCTCACATAATTTCCTTGACTTATTTTTTTAATATGATGTCTAGACCTCATGATGTTGGCTTATTTCTTTATATGATGCTTAAACCTCAACATATATCGTGCTGTATTATCTGTTAGATAAATTTCTCCAATTAGCTGTAGGATAATACAACAATGATTTTTTCAGTTAACTTTGTCCAGTTCAGGTTGACACACAATGATTTTTCACAATCTTATGAATTCTAACTCAAGATATCTTTATTATTATGTATAATGGGGACAATTCATGTTTGTGTGATGTAAAATGGGATAAGAAAACTTAGCGATCAAGCATATTGTTTATCCCATTGACAACACGTCAATGAAAATTAATTTCTTGTTCTGTTCTGATTCAATGTGGTTTCTGCTGAGGGCAGCACTCGACGCAGCTGCAGATTGACTGGAGCAATCTCCACCCAAATTGATTGTATCAATCACCACTAAAATTGACTGGAGCCACCTCCACCTAGACCTAGACTGATTGGAATCCATCTCTGAAAACGTGTATTGAAAACTTCAGCACGCACCAAGCATCATCGAGGAGAGGTAAATCTACGCATGAGAAACAGGAAAGGATGAACACACAAAGAGGGATTGTTGGAATGGGGTCTCCTCGTCAACTTTGATTGAGGCTCACCCTGTGCCATTGCCAAAGCAGTCCTCCCGGCGTGCTGGTCCTCATTAGCTTCGATTGAAGCTTGTCCTGCACCATTGCCACAGCGGCACCAGCATGGGTAGCATTTGTTGCCCGTGGCCCCGCTCCTCCCCGCCGCCGCGGCCAGCGCGCCCGCTTGTCGCAGCCCATCCGGATGGCCCCGCCCCCCGGAGCCCGGAACCTACGATTCGCGAGAGCCGGGTCGACGGGACGAGGACCTCCCGAGCAGGTTGGCGAGGATTCGTGAGGGCTTGCCCCCGTCCCAGCGCACGCTCGGAGAAGGCACCTCACGTGCGGTGGTGAGCTAGCGCTGCGCAGTGTCGCGGGCGACGGGAGGGCACAGGGTTCGTGAAGGCTTTGTGCGGGCAAGCTGGACGGCCAGATCAACGGCTCGATCGATAGTGGCTCGGGAATCCGACGGTTAAGAAAATATAGGCGACGTGGCCCAATCATATGCTCGAGCTTGGCTCAGGATTCAAAAGGAAGAGATGTAGTGGTAGGCAAGTGATTCACTAGTTGGGGTCTTGGGGAGGAACCTGTTCCTGGATTCATGCTTCAAGATGGACATGTATTAGAACTACAATGCAGAACTGGAGATTCTAGTATGTGGGTTATCTAACTATTGGAAT